CATGCTGTGCCCAATCCAGATCCAGTGGTAATGTTACAGGACATCAAGCGTCAGCCCAAGGTAGGCAAGTGCACTGTATATATAAAAAATATATATATAAACCTGTTTGACATGATAACATGAGAGAGTGGTGAGAGGTAGGCCCTAAGCTTTGGAAGTGTGCTAACCTGTTTGGTGGCTGTTTAGGTGGTAGAACGCCTGCTTTCACTGCCCCTGGAATACTGGAGTCAGTTCATGATGGTGGAACAAGAGAACATTGACCCCATGCATGTCATTGAAAACTCAAATGCCTTTTCAACACCACAGACCCCAGATATTAAAGGTAAGGCCCGGTCTGACTCCCTCTCTGGTTTTGGCCATGTACCCTCTCCCTGCCTTTGCTAGAGCTATTTAGAATTCATATTCTTCAATAAAATTAAGTTTGTTATGAGGATTCTAACATTAAAAGAAAATTTGTACAGTTCTACCATCCTAACTTCTTTTTTCACTTTTATGGAACGTGGTTCTCCTTCTTTTCCTTATACATATGGATATTTTAGAAATATAATAACAATTCAGATAGAATTTGATCTTATTTCACTTAGCATATTGTGAGAATGTTTTTTGTTCCTATATAATTTTATCATTTTTATGGTTGTAAATAGTAATTTACTTAACACATTCTATTAGGAATTGATGTTATTTTTGAATTTTCCATAGTTACTAATAGTGCTGATATCAGCATTATATGTATATACCTCTGTTTCCCCTAATACTAAATTCCCAGGAGTGGGAATCGCTGAATTAAAGGGCTTGAACATTTTTATGTTTCACCAACTTGATTTCTTAAAGGCTTTTGCCAATTTGTATTGCCACCAAAAATGTTTGAGTTTGGTTTCTTCCAACTTTACTGGCATTGGAGACTTGACCTCTCATTTTTACAAGATCCTTTTTAAGAAAGACCGTTGTTTTTTCTAATATAGGTAAGAATCAAGTGGTCAAACATTAGGTTTGTGAATGTTGGAGTTTGAGAATGGCCTAAATCAGGAAGTGAATGTCAGCTATTCATTGAGCAGTTGCCTACATAGTTCAGAAGATAGACTGGTGTGTTACAGACGATGACAAAAATGATCTCTGGGACTTTGCTTGGGTCTCTAACCTTAGCTCTTAAGTGCTTCATAGGGTATTCAGCTGAAAACTGGTCACCCACAAGGGTGCTTTTCTTTTTGCCCTTCCTTTAAAAATATGTCTTAACTTTGATTTAAGTGAGTTTACTGGGGCCTGTGACCACTCCTGAGCATCAGCTTCTCAAGACTCCTTCATCTAGTTCCCTGTCGCAGAGAGTGCGCTCCACCCTCACCAAGAACACGCCCAGGTATGTGGAACCCGCTGGCTTGGGAACTAAAAAAGAACTCTTTCCTTAGACCTCTCTTCCCAGCATACCGAAGCTCGTATTGAAGGGAAAATGGAATGAGGCCTTCAGCTAGCAGCTAGCCTTTAAAAGCTAATCTGGAGCCATAAGGACCCCTTTTTGAAAAGGGTCTAAAGGTTTTGTTTCTCCTCTCTCATCTCAGGCGACAAAGAGTAGTTTGCTGAGTAGTTGAGGAGGGTTTCCTGTTTTTAGCTGATAATATCAAGTAATGTTAGAGTTGTTTATTTGCCTTCTTTTCATAGAATACTGTTTTGGTTCATTCTCTGTAGATTTGGGAGCAAAAGCAAGTCTGCCACCAACCTAGGACGACAAGGCAACTTTTTTGCTTCTCCGATGCTCAAGTGAAGTCACATCTCCCGTTACTTGCCCGCATTCCCTGGCTGCAAGGAGGGCGCACCTGTATTCTCTGCTCTGCAGCCTCCTGTACTCATTACTACTTTTAGCATTCTCCAGGCTTTTCATCAAGTTTAATTGTGCATGGGGGTTTTATTAAAACTATATATATCTCCCTCTCTTTCTCCTCAAGTAATGTCATATCAACACCTTGTGCTGTCGTTGTTGGGAGCTTTTAGATGGGAGATCTTTACAGCGGTAGAAGGGAGAATATGGAATTCATTGTGACTGGGGGCCGGGGGAGGCTGGGGCAGGCGCATCCCTTTGGCTTAAAGCCAAATGCTGCTCATGACTGATCCTTCTCTGGTGTTATTTAGAACGAATTTCCATGAGACAGTGACAGAAGCTGCACCTCTTTGGTTAAGACTGACTTGTCTCAGGGTGGGAGGTGGGAGGGCAGGGTAAAGAAAGGTTGGACAGAGGATTTAGGATGGCTCCTTCTGAGAACTTGGAGGTCCCCTTCCCCCAGTATGAACTCAGCTGTAACGTGGAGCCTTCATAAAAATGGATAGGGTGAGGACAGAACCAGTGATGGGGGTGTGCTTATTAGCTTCGATTCGGATTGATTAGGTGTAATAGTGTTAAGTGGCACAACCTTGTAAAAGTGATACTACAACTTGTATTTATCTCTAATGGGCCTCTGGCTGGACTTTGGTTTGCTTGGGGTCAAAGCCAGTTTGTATTTCAGTTGAATTCGTTCTGATGCTTGACCCTCCTGTCCCCTTGTCCATTGGAGCCCGACTTCTAAAGGTCCTATGCCGTCTATTTGGCGTCCCAGTTCACAATTAAGAGTAGGCTATAAGGGGAGATTGTCAATATTTTGTGTGGCAAGAAAAGCCACAGTCATTTTGTCTTTGCACTTTGGTTGCTAAAATCTTCCTATGGAACATAGCCACATCTAGATAAATAAGAACTTTTTCTTTTATTAAAATTATTTCAAATGTCTACAAAAATGCTTTCTTCTGTAGAATGTTTTTGACCCATAGTCACCTTTGTCTGTAAAACACCTATTTAGAATAATATTTGGAAAAAAGTAAATCGTATTTTCAAAAGTTCTGCGAGGTTGGTTTTCTTGTCCTGGAAGGTAACCTTCAACGCCTTTTTAAAGAAAATATTTTTCCTCTGTTTTGGTCCATTGTTCATTTTCATTCTCTCCCATCCCCCAGTGCGGCCCCCACCAGGAGTTTGTTTCTTCGTTTCTCATTCAGTCTCTTTCATTGTCCAAATTGAAGTCCTAGATTTGTCCTTTGACTGTTACCCTCTCATTTGAAGAAACTACTTTAAACAAAAACCAAACTTTTTAAACAAGTCTTCAGGGACCAGAATGGTGCAGTTTAAAAAAAAAAAAAAGACAACTGGCTGGCTGACTGCCTGGAACATCCTTCACTGCTGGAAGTGCCTCTGGAGTGAGCTGGGATGATTAACTGAGGGCACCTGCACTTGGAACTCTGAAGCTGGTGAACAGAATGTATCTGAGATTGAGTGTAAACAGTTGCAGGCTTAATATGTAACCGTGGAGAGGAGGCAACCTACTGGCTTTATTCCCGGGAGGTGGCAGCTCTCAGCAGGGAGATTTTGCCTCAGCAAATTGAAAGAGGACGGGTCCCTTCTCCTCTTACCCCCCTTTACACACACACACACACACACACACACACACACACGACTGTTAAGTTTTGTTTTATTTTATTTTTTTTAATTTTTTTTAAAATTTTTAAAATTTATTTATTTGAAGAGAGAGACACAGCGAGAGAGGGAACACAAGCAGGGGGAGTGGGAGAGGGAGAAGCAGGCTTCCCGCGGAGCAGGGAGCCCGATGCGGGGCTCGATCCCAGGACCCTGGGATCATGACCTGAGCCGAAGGCAGACGCTTAACGGCTGAGCCACCCAGGCGCCCCTTATTTTATTTTTTAACTTTGTCCTAGATGCCGACTTTTTCCTTACGTCTGTGCAAGCCTGTGTTGGCCTGGCTCCATATTTGCTGTTCTGTAGTATCTCCCCAAGGTGCATTTTAAGTCACTAATGTGGAGGAAGTAAATGGATTGTATAATGTTAGTGAAGGCAAGACTACCCTATGCAGGAACTGATGGCCCATTAACGAAAAAGGAAATGGTCCTGTGTGTCAAATGTTGGCCGCCAGTTGCTCAGTTTCGGGCTAGGCCAGGAGACCTCAGCCATGAAAATAATTCTGATATTAGCAAAGGGAAATATGTACCCACCTTCAACTTCTTTAATAGTACTTCATGTGGAACAGCTTGAATTTCGAGGGCTTTCTTAATTAAATTGTATTTCCTTGATGTGAGATCTAAGGAAAGGGTCCAGTGCTTTGGAGTAGTAGGAGTAGCTCCTGCCACTAACCCTTTTTGATGCTTCCTCTTACCCCACCTTTAATGCAGTTTAACTTTACTCTCTCACTTGCTAAATAACCAGAATCTAAATTTTTTTTTTTTTAAAGATTTTATTTATTTATTTGACAGACAGAGACACAGCGAGAGAGAGGGAACACAAGCAGGGGGAGTGGGAGAGGGAGAAACAGGCTCCCCGCCTAGCAGGGAGCCCAAAGCGGGGCTCAATCCCAGGACCCTGGGATCATGACCTGAGCTGAAGGCAGACGCTTAACGACTGAGCCACCCAAGCGCCCCCAGAATCTAAATTTTTAAGTCCGTTCTCCCTCAGTCTAGGTAAGACTCCTAAGTTTGATGTTTCTTTAACTGGGCAAGCATTACATGGTTTGATTCAGCAGCAACAATTTGCATTTATTACTGGGTGTCTAATGATTTCTCTCTCCTTAAGAACGTGAATTCATTGCAGAAATAGAAAGCATCTGAGTTTCCATCAGAGGACTATAGAGTGTTCAAGTGATTTACCATGACAAAAATGGCCATTTTTGGCTATGAACTACACCTGTGACATTGAAAGGGTCTTGAATTCTTAAATTCCTGCTTAAATTAATGGGCAGCACAAAGTGACCAGGAGTGCTGAGTGCAGGGAGCAAACCCATCAGCCTTGCTGGGTTGGTTTTGTTAACGGCAGGGCCCCCCTGCCCACCTCAAGCTTCAAACAGACACATAAGCATATACATACAGTACGTGATACACTGTGATTTCCTGGGATGTGATTTCCCAGTGGAAAAACATTTGGGAGACCCACCATGGTGAGTCTGGGATTTTGAGCAGTGGTTTGCTTACTCATGCGTCACCTTTTCTGAGGCTCCACAAGGCACAAGAAAGGGGCTGTTACAGAGTCCAGGTCGGAGAAGCAAGGCAGGCACAGTTCATACAGTAGGGTCTGGATCCATGTGCTTCGATGATAGTCTTGATCGTGACTCGGGTTTCGGCCACTGGCACAAAAAGCTTTTAAGCATGCAGAGTTGGGGCATGTTAGTCATTGTGCTTTTCGTATAAACAGGATTTGGAGAATGGTCACTTAACCTAGGAATTTAGTGATTTTTAAAAAAATCTGCTCCCTGGAGTTGGTCTGTTTTGTAAGTAAGTGAAGGCCCCAGGCCAGGGCCAGGGTTCTAAACTTGTATAATTTATCAGACTCTGGTTCTCACAGTCTGTATTTGTTGATGGTTTCTATTCACGAAGTCAAGCAGAAGGCAGTTTGACGTCACTAGGAATAACCTTGTAGTGTGTGGGAGCCATGTCCTCCGCAGTTGTGTGGGATGGGAAAGGAGGCCACTTTTCAGGGACTCGGAGTTGGGAGCAGGAATTTTCCTTTTGTCTACCTTCTCCCTCTATAACTCTTGCCAGCTTCATTTAGTTGCATTGTTTCGATACAGATTGCTCTCACATCTCACACAGTTGGACACCATCTGTGTGCTAGGCTCAGACACATATAAATGGATATTTAGATTTCTAATAAAGCACTGCCAGTTAATATCTTCTCTGGTCTTCAGTGAAGATGGAATTAACCGATTCCTCATGAAGTCTAGGAAATGTAATACGGTGATTGACAGTATACCAAGTGCTTTCATTCATCATCTTACCTGATGTCACCACATCCATGTAGGGTGGGCAGGTAATCTTATCCCAGTTGACAAATTCAGAGGGGTGATTTGGCTTAAATTCCCACAAACTAATCTATAGTTTAGCAGGGATAAGAACCTGGGGATTACAGCTCCTACTGGAGTTCAGCTGTGGTGCTTGCTATTTTAGATCAGCATTGTGGGGTCTGTTGATATATTATTAGGTACATAAATTATTCCACTCAAGGCTGTATGCGGATGTGCTTATTTACAGATGACCCAGAAGGAGCAGGAGGCCCAGACTGCTGGGAAAAGCATTTGGGACAGGAGAATGAAATGTCTTAATGGTTGGGCTTATTGTCTTGTAGAGTGGGAGCCCTGGGCTTGGTTGGTGACCCAGGGCTGCTTTCTGTGTGGAAGGAGGTGGATGAGCTGGTGTGAGTGTTTGAGGTTCCTCCTGGTGGGAGTCCGTTCCCGGGTCACCCATGTGCATCTTGAGTGCTCCGAAGCTCAGAGCCAAGAACAGGCGAGTCTCTGAGCCAAAGCCATCAGCCTGCTTCTAGAAACGTGTCAGCGGATTAGCTTATTGGCTTTCCCCCTGAGTGGCATTAGCTCTCACCCTGTCTCATGTTCACCATCTGGCTTTGAGTAAGAAGTCGTCGAGTGATCTCTCTTCAGCAGCCTGCTCTGTGCCAGGGCTTTCTGAGGGCTGCTCAGCTTTCTTCCTCATCCACCCCAGGGCCCAGTGCTCTCCAAGAAGAGGTAGTCGGTCTGTTGTGTCCACACATATGCACACCTGGGATCAGAAGAATAGACCTCAGAAGAAAGAAAAAAAAAATCAGCTCAAAGGAGAATGCGTCTGTGTGGTTAGTGGCCTAAAGTCTTTTGTTGTCAAAACTAACAAGTGGATCTGTCCTTAGGTGAGTTTTTAAAATGGAGTTGCTCCTGCCTGTAAGATGATACAGTTTGTCCAGATTTTAGTAGAGCAAGACATACGAAGGGACTGGGATTTTTCTTCCTCATTGGAAAACAAGGCCTCAGGTGGGGTGCTTAAATGAACCACCTCTCGTCCCCCCAGGGAGCTGGCTGCTCTCTCCTCCTAGGTTAATAGATGTTGACTGGGGCTAAATGCCTGATGCTTATGGACAGAGCCCATCCCCTCAGCAGAGAAGCCGCACTGTGGAGATACAGCGGCTGCCATTAAAGGGCTAAGCCCTTTCCAGCTGCTTTGCTTTAACGGGCACTGCCTGCAGGCGGCAGCTTAACGGAGCTGTCTTAGCCCGATTAGGAGGAAATGACTAATCTCAGCATCTTCTCCTGGCACTGGCCTGGAGGCTCTGGGGAAGATAACCCAGTAGGGTGGGAAGTGGTTGGATAAATGGTGTTGGAGTGCTAGGCGATTATCCCCTCAAAAATGGTGGTCACTGCTTGGCATGGCTTGTGTCTTACTTTGTCTCCTTAAAAAAAAGTGGGCTTTTCTTCACTGGCCTCCCTGGCACTGAGGGAGAAGTGATGTTAACCATGTTGGGCGGCCTGGGTATTGAAACCCTGCAATAGAGTTGAGAGCATATGAGGGCAATGGTGCCCATTCCCCTTAGAGGAAGAAGAACTGAGACCCTCCAGTGTGGTCCCCACTTTGGCCTTACATTCCCCTTCACTTCATTCATTCATTCATAGTAGGCTCCACACCCAGGATGGAGCCTAATTTGGGGCTTAAACTCAAGATCAAGACTCAGACACTTAACCAACTGAGCCACCCAGGTGCCCTTCCCCTTCACTTTGAAATCTGACTTAAAGAGCCAAGATCTGGGGCGCCTGGGTGGCTCAGTCGGTTAAGTGTCCGACTCTTGGTTTCAGCTCAGGTTACGATCTCAGGGTTGTGGGATAGAGGCCTGCGTTGGGCTCTGTGCTCGGCACAGTCTGCTTGAGATTCTTCCCTCTCCCCTTCCTTCCCCCTCTGCCCCTCTCTCCACTCGAGTGCCTGCAAGTGCACTCTCTCTCTCTAATAAATCTTAAAAAGTAATAATAATAATAAAGAGCCAATATCTGAAGGAGAAATGATCATTTCCTTGGTTGTAAGATGCACTTAAAATATATGTTTTAATATTTCTGAGAATTGGGATATCTTAGAATCAATGGCATCTTACAAAAACAATGTAGTGTTTTTTCTTTAGTGACTCATAGAATAGTCAAACATCTTATTATCGATGTTATTTGGGTTGGAAGTGTTAGCTGTTTGCAGGAGACAGGCTGTTGGCTAGACCAGATGTGGAGGTCAGGGAACCTCCTTCTTAGCTGTGGTCCAAGAGCTTTAAAACAGGGAATTCCTTGTGTCTGAGGGAAGCCACAGGATGGGGCAAAGGAGGGCTCAGCCCCAGAACTCTGGCACCAAGAGACAGGCAATATGTATGATAGGATCAAAATCTGTCCAGTCATGACCCCTAGAGCCATTAGATGTGACCCTCAAGTCGGGGAAGGGTAGGAAAAAAGCCCCTGTGGATCAGTGAGTCTATGACCAAAATCCTAGTCCTCCCCGATGGAGTTGTGAAGTGAGTATAGCACCAAAACACCGGGGTGCTTCAACACAGGAGGTTAGGGGTCCGCTTGAGCAGGGAGCTGGGAGTGTTTATTGCAAGTCCAATTTGCTCACCAAATCCAGAATATCAGAGGTCTTTCCTCCCGTGAAACTGGAAGGCCATGGTTTGGGGACCAACAAAGAAAGGACAGAGAGTCAAGTTAGGGAAACGTTGCCCTGAGATGAGAAGTAGACTAAAAATCTAATTTTGTTTAAGAATCGTCTTCCTGTTGCGGTAGAGAGAGGTGTTCAAATAACTGTGAAGTAGTGTGTTCAGTGCCAGGATGGAGGTGTGTGCAGAGTGCTGGGGGAGCTCAGGAGGGAGGGGCTGGTGGCTTACCAGCCTCAGAGGTGATGACATTAGGCAGCGTCTCAGGATGCACAGGGCAGCTAGAGAGGCCCGGGAAGCATACTCCGGACGGAGAGGCCCCTCCAGCCCGGGGCCGCATAACTGGACGCTGACGACCGTCCCGGCCTCTCCTCTGATCTCACGCTGGGCCCTGGCCTGGCTGGGCCTTGTTCCATCCTTCCGTGGAGCGGCGGGGGGGGTGGGGGTGGGGAGGGTGTTGGTCCCTGCCGCCCTCAGTGGCATCCTCCACCCCCAGTTTTGGCAGTAACTGCCCCTTTCGCTGACTTAATCAGAGCTCTGAAACAGTTTGCATTTCTCTCTTTTCTGCCCATTCACTGCAGCCTACTAATTAGTGCTGTCAGACTCCACAGTCTCCTAAACCCCCTTCCCTAACCGCACCTCCCCTCCAGCTTTGGCTGACTGCCACTGCCCCTCCCCAAGAGGTGCAGACCCCCTGCCCCAGCTGCCCTGAGTGGCCACTGTTCAGCCGGGTGGATGCTTCTTGATTAGCCCTTAACTTCTCCCCTCCCTTCTTCGCTCCCTGTCTTCCCCCCCTAACATTGCCGGGCCTGCCATTAGCACTAGGTCAGCGTCCCTGCTGATAAGCAGCTCTCTTCCTGCGCTGCTCCTCTGGGTGCTGGAGTGCAGTGCTGTGGGCTGGGAGGGACTGAGGCGATACCCTCTCCTGACCCAGTGTACTCTTCCATCAAGTCCCCTGTCAGCTTGTTCCAGATCATTTGACCTTATTATAGATCAGAGATCCCAGACTTTGATTTGTGCTACCTCTTAAAGCCTCAGCTCTGATGGCTGCTTCCCTTTTGTTTTCTTAGCTTTCATATGAAATTCCAGATGCTCAAAGTCCTGCGTCTTTTTACCCCTTTATACCCACCCGGCCTCCTTACTCTCATTCCCTGGATCTTCCAGCAAACCAACACTTGCCACAATCACTCCAGTGCTCCACCTCTCTGTTCTGGGGAGACCTTTGTTTCTTTCTTGGGTTTGATTCGTTTTTTCTTTTTTTAAAAATTTATTTACTCTTAGTAATCTCTATAGCCTACGTGGGGCTCTAACTCACAACACCGAGATCAAGAGTGGCATACTCTTCCAACTGAGCCAGCCAGATGCCCTTTCGGTGTGATTCTTGACTCTTTCCTCTGGGATCCTCCTCCCCCAACACACTCACACACACTCAACTTTGCTTAAGCTAACTAAGGCTGGGGAATGGGGAGGGAGTGGGTCCTTCTTTAGTAATAGCCGCCTGGCCTGCTGGGCTGCGTTAGGAACTGTGGGGAAGCAGCTGAGCCAGCAGCAGAGGGAACGGCAGTCTGCCACAATGTTGGTGACACCCGTACCACCGACTGAGATCTGTGTCAGGTGCCTTGCTAACCACATACATCCCGTGTGGCTCCAGCCCCCTTATTGAATTAGATCCCATTTTCCAGATGAAGAAAGTGAGGCTCAGGATTCTTAAGTAACTTGCTTAAGTTCACACAGCTATAACTGCCTGAGCCTGTATTTAAACTTTTTCAACCCTTTCAACCCCTATTATACCTTTATGTAGTCTTCTTTTTTTTTTAATATGGTGTATAGAATCCTTTAAGTCAGTGATTTTCTTTGGAAAGTGAAAGTCTCTGGATCATTGTCTTCTCCTCCTCTGCCCTCAGTCTGAGCAGCCCAAATGTGTCCCAGAGCCTGGTCCCTTCGTGGGCTCCCTGCAACACCTCCCCCACCCCACCCCCCCACAGTGTGGTCCCAGTGTGTCCTCTTTCCAGCCAGAGGTAGCAGTGGGGGTGGGAGGTGGAGAGGGGCTTCCTGCCAGCCAGTGGGGACGCTGCAGCCTAGGCTCTGGGCTCACATCATCTGTTCCTGCTAAGACAATCATCAACATAAAAGGCTAATTGTATTAATCACCAAGGCACCCCCCCCCTCCCTTTTGGGAGAATTATGAATTGCAATTGCAGATGGCTTTGCTGATTGAAGGCAGTGCTCAGCGGGGAGAAGGGCCAGATCAGATTACACACCATTAATTAAAAACTTCCCCTGACAACCGGGAGGAAGGGAGTGCACACCAAGGGTCGGCCTGGTTGGGTCTCAGTCCTCCCCATGCTCCCACCGCCCCCTCCACCCAGGCCCAGGGGCTGGGGCTATGAAGCCCTGCTGTCGCAGGCTGGAACCTGTGAATTTGGCTCCCCAAGGGCCATCCAAACAGATGGCTGGCTGTCCTATTAAAGGGCTCCAGAGAAGGAGAAGCTAACCTTTGGTTACTCATTCCTATGTCTAACTTTGGACGCTCTTCAGATTCTAACCTATTTCCTCACTTTTCATGAAGCTTGTCTCCCCCTTGCTCTAGTCTATTCTGACAGAGCGCAGCTTTAAAGAACTCGTCATGAAAACAGCCCCCAACTCTCTCTCTGAGCAGTCACCCTCACCCTTAGGGCCTGGAGACAGGGGTTCCACAATCAGCTCTGGAGTAGGGGCTGAGGGCTCCGGGGTGCTGTGCACCCTGGTCCCAGCTACCCCTCCCTGCGAGCATAGGTGTCTCAGCTGCTCTCATCCTGGCGCATCTGAAGTTGTAACTCCTGAATTCTCATGATCGATCCCCGCCTCCCCTCCCTCCCCAGTCACCTAGCCTCAGTCATTCATTCATCAAACTTTTATTGAGCACCCAGTGTGTGCTCAGCTCTGGGGACGCAGAGATAATTTGTCTAGGAGCTTCAGAGCCCTACTGCAGGAGCTCCACCCCCCTGCCCTTGTCAACCTTCTAGTTCTTTTTTTTTTTTTTTTTTAAGATTTTATTTATTTATTTGAGAGAGAGCACATGAGAGGGGGGAGGGTCAGAGGGAGAAGCAGACTCCCTGCCGAGCAGGGAGCCCGATGCGGGACTCGATCCTGGGACTCCAGGATCATGACCTGAGCCGAAGGCAGTCGCTTAACCAACTGAGCCACCCAGGCGCCCCTCAACCTTCTAGTTCTTGCCTCCCTCCTTCCTTCCTTCTTTCCTTCCTCTGGCTATATAACTTGTATAAGCCCCCCGGAGCTCTGTTTTGGAAAATTCTAAGCTGGGAGCTGAGGAGACCTTAGGGGGCTGTGGTACTGAGCTGGGTGACCTTTAGCAAGTCAATCACATCCCTCCCCACCTCCCCCCCACCCCCACACACACCCAGCTGTCCCTGCTCATAAAAGGGCACAAGAAGCCCTGGGCTCGGAGAGATTGTGAAGATGGATGAGTGGGGCCCGGCTTGGACAGATGTGAATAGTAGTCCACACTGACAATATCACAGAATCCTGAACACGGCCACTGTGGCCACGAGCACTTGGGGACTCAGCTCTCGCTCTGGTCACCGGCTGGGCTCTGTCACCCTACCCTTGAAAGACTTTGGGAGCCCCTCCCATCCCCAGTGCCATTGGAGACATCATGGAAAAGGACCTATCTTTTTTATGGATTTGGTTGCTGTATCTCAGGGTACCATGGTGATGGGCACCATAGAGATGAGAAGAACTGACTTTTATTGGCTTGTCTCTTTGTTCCAGTGGCCCTCCTCAACCCCCTCCACACACACACAGCTCCTGGGTCAGTAGATCCAGGAGAGAAGGAGGCAGTGCAAGTAAGTGAAACAGATGAAAGGAGAAAAGCCTACTCTCTTTTCCCTCCCTCTCAATCATCCCCCTCTCCCTTCTCCCCTCCTCCCTCCCATTACCAACAGCAATTGTATTCAAACCCGATAATTACAGTAACAGTGACAATAATCATCATTTATTGGGTTTGTTTTTCTAGCATTTTAACTTCCGAAAACATTTTCCAGTCTCTTGTTTGTTTTCACAGCAGGCCCTGGGGGAGGGCTGTGCCCATTTTATAGCTGGGGAAGCTGAGATCCAGATAGGGCCCCAAGTCATGGGGAGAGTATATTTATAGCAGCTTGTAAATATTAACAAACCAACTGAGACTAATAGTCCTTCAGAGGCACTGAACTGCAAATCTTGGTTTCTTGGGTCATTCCTGAGTTCTGACCATCCTTGGGGCTCATTCAGTAGCTTTTTGAGGATCCTGGCAGAATTGAGAATGAGGCTGGAGACAGCTTGTGGCCCAGATCAGGGACAGGTGGCTGGGATAGGGACTTACCCCTCTCAGGATTGTTCCCATAAATGGGGCTGTGGGGTGGAAGGTGGGCAAACATCTGGGGAGAGCCTATCCTGGGAAAGGCCTGTTTGGCCCAAACCTCCCTTGTGTCTATCCTGCCCCTCTGCCAGCCCTAGAAAAGCCTCCTCTCTGTGTCAGCTCTTCCCAAGGGCAGGGTCCTCTCCTGAGCATTTAGAGGCGTGAGGAATGAAGATCGATCAGAAGGACAGTCTTTGTCCTCAGGAAGCACCCACGCTGAGGGCTGGTCTGTAGCCCCCAAACCATACCCAGGAGCAAAGATAGCCCTATGAGGAGCTCAGAGAATGTCCCAGGATCCAATTCTTCTGGGAATTCTGGTTTTCCCCTCAAGGATGGGTAAGACATTGGGGTTCCCCAAGGTCTCTATAGCCCTTAGTGTCTAAGCTGAGTGGCTGTCTGGGCTCCAGTACCAAGGCAAGGCGATCCAGAGGCTCAGGATGCCCACTAGGATCCAGATGGACGAGAGAAGGGGAGGGCAATCATGAATTTCCCTGCCTCCTTCTGCTCTGTCCCATTAAGAGATGTAGGAGGAGGAAACTGAACAGATTTGCTCTCCAGATTCTTTCTGTCTAGAAATATAACGCCAGGGATAGGGATTGGCATTCCTTGCCCACCCTGTTAGGACAAGAGGCCTAGCATCCCCATCCTTCCTGCCCTCATCCCCCCACCCCGGCCCCACCCCCTATAAAACCTGAAGTCTGGTTGTACAAGGCAAGCTACCCACCTAAAGGGCTCCTCTCAGAAGCCCAAAGGTGAGGGCCAAGTTCTATACCATCTGACACATGTTCCCCGTTTTAGTATCCCCTGAACTGGACTGGTATTCTCTCTTCTTGGGCTCCTTTTCTGCCACTTTCTCCATTTCTTCAGTTCCCATGAGGATGGCCAGTTGCTGGGCCATGGTCTTGGTGTCAGGGAACAGGATAAAGTTGTAGATGAGCGAAGCCAGGACAGCTCCTGTCAGGGGTCCCACCCAGAAGATCTGAGGGGGCAGAGAGGAGTGGGCATGAGTTATCAGGATCATAGGGTAGCTTTGGGACCCTCGCCTGGTTCCCTAGTATTAACTTGGTCTCCCAGGACCCCTTGAGCTGTCTACACGATGACAAAATGGAGAAGCAGGCATCCTGCCTGCCAAGTCTCTGCAGGTGAGGTGACCTTGCCTTGCACAGGGCAGGCCCAGTCTCCTCACCCCTCCTGTTTCCCTCCTCTCGCCTCCCCTGTTCCAACCAGGAGCCCTGGCTAAGTGCTGTTCCTGCTTCGGCTGGTCTGTGTGTGTGTCTATTTCTGTTTGTCTTTTTCTTTATCCAAGTTTGGAAACTGGTCCAGCTGGAGGAAGTGAATAAGGAAACAGCCAGGACTTGAGGCCTGGGCTGAGGCTCCATCTCCTGCCCTGGCCCATTTATCGACAGTCTACTGGGTCCCCTTGGCTATTGAAGCTGGAAAGAAAGGAAGTACAAGCCAGGATACTCGCCTTCATCTTCTGAGCTTAGGGAAACCTCACCTGGGGGTCAAGATGGTCTGTGGTAGGGGGACGTGTCTCCCCAAGTCCCTGTGGACCCCCCGCTGGTGAAGGTCACTGTCCCTAAGGGCCCCCGCCCAGCCCCTCCCCACCTCACAGCGGCCAGCAGAGGCTCTCACCCAGTGGAGTGGACCTCGAACTTCCCAACGATGATGGCGGGGCCAAAGGAGCGGGCCAGGTTCATGGAGCAGCCGGTGAAGTAGACCTGAGGGGGAGAGTGCAGGTTCAGGGTGTGAGGAGGCTTAGGGCAGGCCTGGGAGGGGACAGCCCCCTCTGCCCTGGCTTAGAGCCTTGGTCCCAGCCTTGGCCACTGTGGCGCCGTATCCCAGACCTGGACTGAGGGAACACAGCCTCCACCCAACGCATGAGGGGCTCAGGGAGGGACCCTTCCTGGCCTTCAGGGTCCCTGCAGCCTCCTCAGGGAGGGACCGATTTGTGCATGTACACGGTGTTCCCTTGGCCTCTTACCCCAATGAGGTGGCCCAGTGCCAGAGAGATCCCCATCATGGTGGCCGGGGAGCCCGATGCCTGGCGGCTATTGGTGGAAACGAAAACACAGAGCACCAGCTGCAGGGTGAGAACCAGCTCCACTGCCACAGCCAGGCCCGTCGAGACGCTGCTCCGGACTTGGGTGCAGAGGCTATGCTGGAGGTGACGCGGCTCTGCCAGTGGGTGGTGACCCGCTCGGGCCTCATTTCCTCACCAAAAGGAGGTGACGCCTCACCACCCCGGTTCCAGGCCCCAGGGAGATGGAGCGGGGAGAGCTGTAGAGTGCAGTGCGGGTCAGCCCTGGACACCTGCTCCCTGCGGAAGGGAGTGGCCGCCCTCCTAGCCCCCCGGGGGGCTGCAGCCAGTAGTTGGCGAAGGGCTCAGTTCTGTTGGGGAAGGGAAGGCTCGGAGCAGGGGGTGCAGGTTTTCGGGCAGACTGGGAGGAGACCGTGGGTAGGAGGGGAAGGAGGAGACGGAGGGGGGGGATGTAGGTGGAAGGGTAGATGATTAGGGGAATCTGGGGGAGTGAGACAGGCCTCAGGGTGCTGGGGAAGGAGGAACATGGGGACGCAGAAGAGCAGGGCACCCGGGGTGGACCAGAAGAGAAGAAGGGCATGCCGGGTCCCCTGCCACTACCCGCAGCCCCAGGCGTCCCTGGCTATCCTGACCCTTCAATGCCCGGTCCTTTCCTGACTCCTGCCCTTGTGCCACCTTGTACCATAACCCCATTCCCGCTCTGCCTGCACTAAGGCCACGGTCTGGTTCCCCTGGGTCCCAGGGCGCAGCCCAGAGCAGGCAAGGAACACGGGGCTGAGTTATTTCCTCCCTGTCCCCTCTCCTCAGGCCTGACCGTCTACCCTTACCACCCGGGTGGGCATCCCTTTCCTGGTCCTGCCAGGTGCCCCTCCCTGCACCTACCATGTTAACCCCGAGGGTCTCTTGGATGTCTCCTGGGATGACCCCATAAAGCAGAGCAGCCCCCACAGTGGCCCCGGCCAGCTGGGCAGCCACATAAGCCACAGCACGGGGCAGGGAGATTTGGGAGCCCACGAGGAAGGCGAGAGTCACGGCGGGGTTGATGTGGCCCCCGCTGGTCTTCCAGGTGATCTGCGCAGCCACAGTCGTGGCCAGGTTGAAGGTGATGGCGATCTGCAGCACGGTGGGAAGCGCCGAGGGCCAGGGCAGGGCTGAGCCCACGCCGAAGAACACATACGGCCCCGCCCCGTGGCCAGGAACTCAGCGAACAGCGCCCTGCTGGTCGCTCTCCACAACGGGCAGGCCAGCATCCTGGCCCTGTGTCACCCGCCGGGCTGCCCTGGGTCCGGGCCCGGCTGCCTTGGCGGCTGCCTCTACTTCTCCTGGGACCTCTGCTTCTCTGGCCTCTGATCTCGGCTGTCTCTGGGGGTCTCTTGTCTCTGGCCTGCTCCTCTCCTTCGCTGCTGACCCAGGGGCCTGCTGGTCAGACTGGCAGGAGCAGGCTGACAGGCTTGTGTGCGTCTAGGGGGGGCGGTGGGAGGCGTGAGGCCCGTATGAGGACTGGTGCTCCCCTGCTTGCTCTGCCCACCCGGAGCTCCCCTCACAGCTGGGGGAGTGGGGCAGCCCCTAGGCGCCGAGCTGGAACCTGCAGGTTCCCAAGCCCGACAGACCTAACGCTGCTGCAGGCAGAGGCCCAGCCTGAGCGTAGCAGGTGCAGGAGTAATGGTGGGCATGGGATTCCAGCTTAGATGCAGCAAGCTCCTCAGATCCCCAAGTCCAAGGCCTGCTTCCGAGGGTCCCGTGCACTCCCAGAGGTTCCTGTTCCCCTGGCCCCCTCTGCCTGCAGGCCCTGCCTCCAAATGGGCTCACACTATTCGATGCCCCATAAACCCAGATGTGAAATGAAGCTCTTTTCCTCCATTCCCACCTAAATCCCTATTCACAGAAAGCAGATGTGAACAGAGTCAAATTTTCTAAGGACCTGGGTCTGTGTGGGTGCAGGGGCGACAGAGGGAGGAGGGGCTTATTCCACAGCTGATCAGATGACACACACAGCAGTGGAGAATTTCCCCTGCGAGCTGGGAATTTCCACTGCCTTGTCCTTGCCCCGTCCTGTCTCCCTTGCCCGCCCCCTCCCTCTCAACCGTCTCCCCTCCATGCCCTGCTCTCCTCCTTCTCAGGGGCCTGAACAATTCCTCTCAAGTCTCACACAGGGCGGCTGAGCCATTTTTGTGACAATGCGGGCCCTAAGGTCAGCCAGGCCCTAGGCTCTGCCCTTTTAACCCCGGCAGCATATCAAGCTATTTTCCCAAACAAAGGGATCTCCTCCCTAAGAAGAATCTGTGGAGCTGTTGAAGAAAGTCTTCACTCTTCATCACATCCGGGGGGGCCCTGACCTCACCCCTGGCCATAACGTCCTGCTCAGTGGATATGCCCTGGCTGTCTTCAGCCTCCTCAAATGCGACCTGTCTCAAAATGAGATCCTCATCTCTCTCTGTGCCCCCCCCCCGCCATGTACTCTTCCTGTTTTCTCCAGCTCAGCTGGGAGCATCTGGGAAGCATCCTTGAACTTTCTCTCCCTCCTGCCCCCAACCAATAAAGGCATCGAGTCCGGCTGCTTTGGAATCCTAAATATTTCTTGACTGTGCCCTCTTCTTGCCACCCTGCTGCCCTGTGGCCTTGAACGAGTCTCTGTCTGCTTCCTCACTCAGCTCCAATCAATTATCCACACTGCAGCCTGAGAGATCTTTCTAAAATGCAAATCTGATCCCGCTGCTCCGTTGCTAAAATCCCTTCAAAGTGTCCCTCATGCCAGGCCTACAAGGTCCTCGGGGATCCTGCTCCTCCTACCTCACCTCTCCCCACTCCTTGCTTTGTCCTGTGGCCTCACCAAATGACCAGTGGTTCCGCAACACGTTATGCTGGTCACTCCTTGGAGGACGCTCTGTCCTCTCCTTGGATGGCCTTTCCCACGTCTTTTGCTTGGGTAACTCCTAACTCATCCCTGCAGCACAGCTTCAGTGTCATCTCCTCCTTTGCTGGGTGATGACCCCTCCGTGTGCTCCCACCCCATCTGGGCACTTCTGTACACTTCAGTCACTGCAGAGTGCCGTCATGGTGATAATGTGTCTCCTTAATGAGGTGGTGAGCCCCTCTGGGGGCCGGAACCAAATTTTGCTCATCCCTACATCTAGTGTCTTGCACAGGGATTGGCCATTGTTGGTGCTTGATAAGTATATTTTTTAAAGATTTTATTTATTTGACAGAGAGAGCACACACGTAGGAGGAGCGGCAGGCAGAAGGAGGGGAGAAGCAGGCTCCCCGCTGAGCAAGAAGCCTATATGGGGCTCAATCCCAGGACCTTGGGATCATAACCTGAGCCAAAGGCAGACGCTTAACCTACTGAGCCACCCGGGTGCCCTGTGCTCAATAAATATTTATTGATGAAAGAATGAATGAATAAAAGCTTCTTGACCTCCTGGAGGCCGGTGACTTTCATACCTACTTCATTCCAGCCAGCTCTTCTTCCGGCCTTATACCCATCCCACCTGGGACTGAGCTCTCTGAAATCTTCAAGTGGAATAGCCCAGCTCTGGTTACAGGCTCTGTCCATGCACCCTCTTCCATTCCCTTTCCTGGCCTCACCCTCCCCTCCCCAGCCAGATCCCCTGGCATCAGTGCCTCCACTGTCCTGCCCCCCCTCTTCTCTCCACCCCAGCCCCTGCATGTCTCCGTTCCTTTCTCCTCCACCGCCCTCTGGCCCCATCCAGATCTGCGCCGCTGAGCGCGGCTGGAACAACTCGCCCAGCATGCAGGCTTCTGCCATGAAGAGTCCACGGGTCCCTGGCTTCAGCAGGGGTCACAGCGCTGCTCAGCAATCCTTACACCGTCCTCAGTCGGCTCTCTCTCTCCCCATTCTTCTAAGGCTGACTTCCAACCTTGCCCACGCTCTCCAAGTGCCCTACTCCAGCTTTCTTCTAGCAGCTCAGCTTGCCCCCTGTCCTACCTAGAAAGAGAAACTAGCAGGTAAGTCTTCCCATCCTTCTCCCCCAGCCACAAACCCACCTGCCATTGCTCCATGCCCTCACCAGCTTCCCTCTGGCCCTGAAGAAGAGGCAGCCCTTCTGTCCAGTCAGGGGCCCCTCCTTGTGCTCCTGGCTCCCTTTGAGTGACTGGGATCCTCTCTGGGCTGGTCCCAGTCTCATCTGGGGTTTTTCACTTCTCCTTCTCAAGGCTGAGACTTGAAAATGGGGCCTGGGTAATACCAGAGTTGTGGAGAGACTGTGGGTTTGAGGAAGGCTTTCCTCTTTGTCTCTTCCAAGACTTTGCTCAGGTCCAGTTCCTCTATGAAGCCTGCCCTGATTCTCCTCTCCAGCCAGTGGCTACTTCTGGCTTTGACCTCCTCAGGGCCTCCCCTGTTCTGGTGGGGACCCATGCTTGCCTGGTCTCAAAGAGGCTTTCAATAAATGCTCGAGGAAGGAAGGAATGTGGCCACGGGGGCAGCGTGGGTGACCCTCCTCCCTGGCACGGTGGGCTGTCCCAGGGAACCTCAGGGCATCTCTCTCCTTCCCTTCCTGCAGACAGGGCCGCAGAGGGCTCCCCTACACCCCACCGAGCCGCGGGGAGGCACACCTGTAGGCCAAGCAGCCGGCAGCACTAAGGCCTAGCTGGTGAGGGCCTTTGATAAGGCAGCACGGGCGAAAGCGTTCACACGTCGCCATGTATACCGCATCCCTGACCAGTGGGTAACTTCTGTGAGCTCAGTTTCCCCACTTATAAATGGACATAATTCTCGTTGCTCCATGTGTCATTTGGGGTAAATGTGCTGATACCTAGGAGAGTGTCTCTGAGCCAAGAAAATTTTGGTTGTTCGGATCGCCCTCCCTCACCCCTCCAGGGAGACAGGTGTGAGGACTGGGGTGGGGTGGGAAGGGTCCTGGTTGCCATGGCAGCTCCCAGACAAGCAGCTCCCGGGGCCCCTGCTCTGGGCCCTGGAGGCTGAGAGAATCAAGGGCAGCCGGAGCCCTGGGGTCCAGCTGGTCTAGAGCAGCGCCTCCTGGGGCCCTGTCTGGCCCGACACAAGGTTGTTCAGCTCCTGAGGCCAGGTGGGCACGGGCCAGGACTTTGCTCCAGCTCCAGCTAGCACCTCCCCGGACCCTGCCAGTCCTGGGCTCTACTGGGAAGCTCTCAGGTCCCTCATGCTCAGAGGCCCTTTGCCAAGGCCCCACGCCCGGCTGCCTACAGCTGCCTGTCGGTGGCTGTGGGCTTTTAACCCCCTAGAGGCCTGTCCAGCTGCTGTGGCGGCTAAATCCGCGGGGAGTGGGGTGTGTAGGTGCGCGCACAAGGGGCAATGGGGGCTCTGACTGAGGTGCTCTCAGTTCGGGGAAACAGAGGGGGAGCAAAAGGGAGGGGAAGGAGGGAGGTACTAGGAGAGCAGAGGAGGGAGAAGGAAAGCACCGCAGAAAGGGAAGGATTCGAGGTGTTTTCCCTCGCATCATCTCACCAATCCTCCAGAATTGTGGAAGCCTCGTCCACACCTGACAGAGGAAGCTGAGGCTCCGGAGGGGCTTCGAGAGCTCACCCACCCCTCAACCCCTCCTCCTATCCCCCTAGACACCTGCGGCCAATTTCATCCTTTACCCTCAGCCCTCCTCCATCTCCCCATCATGTCTCCATGTCCACCTTCCTACCAGGTGAAAACCAGCAGGCCCTGGGCAGAGGGGGAGGGGAGGAGTAGGAAACCTCCCGTAGGAGAACCAAGGCTTTTCCCGGCTTCCATTTCCAGGTGGAGCAGAGGCTCAGGGGGTGACTGAGCACGTGTGTACTTGGGTGTGATGCACGGAGCCAGGTTCCCAGGTCTGGTCCTCAGCAGCCCCGTGAGAGAATGGGGGAGGGTTGATGTGGCTCTTCACACACGCACGCGCGCACACACACACGCACGCACACACACACCCCGCGTGAGCAGTTTATGCCCAGCAGACACAGCCCCTTGCGTACAACTGAAGGTCAGTGTAGATGTGCAGGGCTACTGTGTGCGTGTTCATGCGTGCGCAGACCTCTGTGCGCTCCGGAACCGAGCGGCCTCCAAGTTCACACATCAAGGAACACAGCGCCCCCTGCTGGCCAAACCACCCGCCGCTGCATCTTGAGGGCCCAAAGCCCTATGGGGACCCGCACCCTCTGGCCAGGCCAGGCCTGTACTCCCTCAAATTGGGTGCCCCACCCATCCCTGAGGGTCTGTCTCCCGTAGGCCCACCGTTCACCACGTTATGCTCCCCTTCCGACCCATCAAAAAAGGAACGCAGGTCGCTGGGCTGGAGGGAGAGGCCCAGTCATGTCTGTGCCTGTACCTGAGGCCTGTGGGGGCGAGAGGGGTAGGGTCCTCTCTCTTCTGCATCCCCTCCCGGATAGTGGACTGGGGGTAGCTGCTTCCTGGTGGCCTAGGGGACACAGGCCTGAGGGACTCCCCCTACCCCCGCGTGGCTAGGGCCCAGACCCAGGATTTGTGTTAGAGGAAGCCCAGCGGCTGCGGATTCGGTGGACGAGGTCCCCCCCTGCTGGTCGGAGCTGGGATTTGCGGCCTGGCTCGAGGGTAGGGGCCGGGGTGGATGAGGGCAGGTGAGGGACTACTCCTTTAAGGGGGCCCTGTGAGGTACACACACACACACCCCTTTAGGGGGCCCTGTGAGGTACACACACACACGCGCACACACACACACACACACTCTCCCATTTACCGATACTAGGCTCAAGTTTGAAGGAGGGCTAGGAAGTCTGGCCCTCCTCACCCACGTTCCCTGGGACTGACACTGGCCAGCCAGGGTCTATGGCTTCTTCCACGCCGTCTCAGTCCCTCTCCTGACCCTATTTGCCCCTTCTCTTCAGAGGCAAAGCTGTAAGACCACAGGAGAGGTTCCCATTCCGGAGAAGCAGGAACTCAGGTTCAAACACTCTCAAGAGAGCAGGTGCCCAGAACTGGAGTGTGGCTGGGGTACCAGATGTGGATGTGCTATGTTCTGTTCACACTAGTTTATTGAACACTCACTGAGGTGCTGGCCCTGTTTTCCTTCCGTCCCCTGTCTCACTTTAGGTTCCCAACAACCCATGAGGTGGGTACAAGTATCCCCATTTTATAGATGAGGGCTCCCTGCTCAGCGGGGAGTCGGCTTCTCCCTCAGCCCCTCCCCCTGCTCTTGCTCATGTGGGCACTCTCTCTCTCTCTCAAATAAATAAATAAAACATCTTGCAAAAAACAAAACAAAACAACAAAAAACCACAACTCAGAGAACCCATGTTACCCAAAGTTGCAAAATAGGATTTGAACTCCAAGCCAGACTCCTTAACTATGATGCAGGGCTGTGTCCCGAGCTGCTCTCCATTTTCCCTACAGAGAGCAGAATGGGCCCAGGTA